TATCAAATAATTTTATTTTTTTTTTAGCTTTAACTTATAAGTAATTCTTGACTTAAAAAGAGAGGATACAAACAGATAACCGTGTGTATTATGAATTTCGAGAGCTACTTACGATTTTATGGTTTGAGTATTTGAATGACGTTTCATTATTTCTTGAAGGACCCCACGTGTTGCAAGAACTATGTTGCGTTTGAATTCAATCAACTACTACATTTAAAACCGTGAACTAAAATCAGTATTATTCAAATTTCAAACTCATCGGACCCCCAAAAATAAGAATTCACTCTTGGATTTCATACTGATTGCCAATTGGCCATAAACTGTTAAATTCTAACTATAATTTTGCATGGTGTAGACCCCAACAAGAGTTTATCTTTGAACGAGAAATAGTCCATTCCTCATTTAATATTTAAGCCAAAGTCTCCAACTCGATCACGTGCATTACATAGACTATCATTATGAGAGATGTTTGCACATGTGAATCAAAGAAGAATATTCTAAGCCTTGAGGGCTGAGGCTATGGTAAGTTCAAGTCGTATTAGATTTACATGAGTCAAAGATCTTCGGCAAGATTACCTCTTTTGTCTTAACTTAACAAGGTCAATGTTTCATCCCAAGATCATCAATTTATTGAATAACCTGTGGAGCCATTTCTTAAAAATCACCCGTAGGAGATTATATATATGTTCAGGGAAAAATATTTTTCACTTTTGTTACAGAAATATTTTTTTTGTCACACTTAGAAATAAGTGAATCCCATTATATATCCCACTAATTTTTTTTTTTATTATAATAAAACTCAATCACTTTTATTTAAGCACATGATTAATTTTGTTGTAAGAATAGAAGAAAAACAAAAGTTTGTAACATGCTTATGGACCATGGTAGTTCTCCCATTAAGGAAGTGACTTGTGGATTTTTTTTTCTTCCCCTCCTCTCTCCTTTACTTTCTCTCTTCCGCCCCATCTAAAACACCAAAATAAATCTCAAGAAAAACATTTATATTTACCTTTAATTATCGACAGTTGAAAAAAAGACATCATAACTGCCTTAAAAATTATCGCAACATTCTTAAAAATTATCCATTAATTTTTTTTAAATAGAATGGTGTAATTGGAAACCTTAAAAGTAGCTTTGGTTCGGTCGGTGATTGATTAGAAGTTTGGAAAGGGTTAGTAGCTATGCCGTCTATTACAAAAATGGTTATCTATTAGTTTGGTGTTATCTTCAAAGTTAATTAAATTAATATCCCCAATCATTTAATTAGTTAGTATTTTAATTTTTCACATGTTCCCTTTTGTTTTACATATTATCAAGAGTGATAAATGACTATGATAGAGAATGAATGACTAAATAGCTCTTCTACTATATAACAATTTATTTTTATTTTTTTGGTAAACAACTATATAACAAATTTAAACCGCGCAATATGTTACATGAAAAGAGAGTATTGAATTCTATTTTTTAAGAAAATATTTTGTGAAACTAATGGCCGGCGCCAGACAAAATTTTATTTCAAAAATAATAATAAAATAAAGTGAGTTTCAAATATTATTTTGAAAAATATTTCCAAAAATACAATTTCAATTTACCATAATGATAAAGTTTAATTTATATTTTAAAATCTCTCAATTCATAAATCAAATTATGAGCAATAACAGTAAAATTAACAAAAAGTTCCATTAGTCAATTGTCATCTGCTCAAATTGCAATTGAAATAGCATAAATACTCCCACTATTTTATCTAGATTTTTTTAACATTTTAAATGAGATTTTTTTATAAGGCAAAAAAAGGACCAAACCACGTACATGCATGGTAATTGATTAATAAGCCTTAATAATCAATTACAACATTAAAATTCGATTTTTTGAGTCTCTGAATTTTAAATTTGAGAACAACCCAAAATTTGACATGATAACAATCATCATATTCAAAGATGATATATGGACTTGGTATAAGAAGAAATTTTTTCTAGCTTTTACAGTAAGAACCTAAGTCATATGAATCTATTACCTTTAAGCTTATTTGGATTTGGTCTTGATAAAAATTTTGCTATCATGAAAAATTGAAAACCTTCATAAAATAAGAACGGCTTGGTTCCATCTCTTTTATAGAATTAAAAAGCTGATAATTTATTACCACTCGGTGGTAATCTATTATCATTCCTTTAGAATTTGTTTTATTCTAAAATCGAGAACTACTAATTTATTATCAGTCCATTGTACTATGTTACCGTGCCTTTGTCGAGTCAATAATCGATTAGTATGCATGAATAATCAATACTTGTCTTGGCATGAACCAAGTAATGGATTAATCAATTACTCAGTTCTTTTCAGCAACCTTGAACGTATCTTTAAACTGATTATCAATTACTAACGTATAGTAATCAATTACCAAAGCAGTAACTAGTTATAAAGAAGAAAAGGGGGGATTTAGAATTTCTATTGTCCAAGTAAATATTCCTAATGAAACGAGTAAACTAAGTATAGGATTTTCAAATTAAAAAAAAAAAGATATGTAAAAAATTAGACAAATTAAAGAGAAGTCGAAATTATTTACTCTATTTTTTATTAGAGCATAATTTCAAAAGCAAATTAACTAAATTATTTTGCTAGCAATACATCACTTTGAAGTTATTTAAATTACATTGCACTTTTAAGCATTCAAGAAAAGTTGTGCAATGTGCGAGTATATTATACCACCACCCCGATATTGAGGGGCACTAATATACCATAACAGAAATCAACATGAGCAACAATTAATACATATTTTTTTAAAAAACTATTGATTTCAAATTAGTGTTGATGCACTTAGAGTTGATGGGTCAACCATTGATTCATGAAGTCAACAAGAATTGTGGCCCAATAAATATGACTCAATTGTTAAAAGAAACAATAATTTAAAATATAACAAATTACGATTAAATCCAAATTCAAATGGAACAACAGATATAATTATGATTTGTTTGAAAAGAAAAGAAACACATTTGGCATTATTTAATATCTAAGGTTTGAGATGTGTTTGAATGATTTAATTTTAATTATTTATTTATTTTTAAAAGTTAATTATCATTGTATTTATTTTAGGAATTTTCCTTAGTTTTAGGATTTTTTATTTTGAATTTTGGATCGATTTGTAATTAATCTATAAAAAGGTGCTTATGAGTTATGACTCTTATTATAGGAGTTGAATTTTATTATTTTGTTAATAGAAATTGAGAACATGAGGGTTTCACTTTTATCGAATCCCAACTTTATATTTAGCCACTATTTTTATGCGTTTTCGGCATTATTTGGTATCAGAGACTAGGTTACCTTTAACCAATGGCTGAATAGAATCGTGGAAGTCGACAACGGTGGAGTCATGAAGGTAGGGAACGTGAATTCGTTCCTGAAGAAGATAGTCAACTGCGTCAGATTAACCCGCATGACATAGAAAATGAAGAGCTTGAAAAGTGGATCCAGGATTTGAAGCAACAACTTGAGCCGGCGTTGGACAAAAAAATTCAAGATTTGGAGCGATGACTCTTGCAGGCGTATAGCGAGAGAATTCAAATTTTGAAGTGACAATTTATAGAGGTGTAGAGCATGAAAATTCAAGATTTGGAGCGGCGACTTGCAAGAACAAAGTTGGACATTCAATCCGAAGAAGGAATGAAATTAAAGGATGCATCTGACGATGAAGAGGAGGACGTCAATCCTTTGGGAATTGTAAACTAGGGACGAAATTGAGGAGCATGACCCGAAAATCTCATTTTTCAAGATAACGAGACACAACTGAACATTACTAACTTTGAAGTCTATAATCATAATCATATTTATGATGATTATCCAATCTATGATGATAATCCAATTTATGATGACTATCCAATTTATGATAATTATCCAACTTACGATGAAAATTCAGTTTATGATGATCATCTAGTCTATGATGACCATTCTGATCGAGAATTAGATGATAAAGATCTAATAGAAGGAGAATTATCATTTGAGTTTCTACCTTAAGAGATCGAGATCAGTGAAAATAAAGAAGATTCGAGGCCTAATCTTTTTATAGTAGGGGAGAATAATGCACTTATAGTTGGCCCATTGCACATGGCCCAACCATCGATTCAGGAAACCTGGAGTTAACCAGAATTGTGACACAATAAATATGACTCAATTGTTGAAAGAAGCAGTAATTTGAAATATAACAAATTACGATCAAATCCAAATCCAAATGGAGCAGCAGATATGATTATGATTTGTTTGGCAAGAAAAAGAAAGCAACACATTTGCATGATTTAAGATTTAAGATTTGAGATGTGTTTTGAATGATTTAATTTTAATTATTTATTTATTTTTAGAAGTTTTTTTTAAAAAAAATATTTATTTTTAGAAGTTAATTAACATTATATTTATTTTAGGAATTTTTCTTAGTTTTAGGATTTTAAATTTTGAATTTTGAATTTTGGATCGATTTGTAATTAGTCTATAAAAAGGTACTTCTGACCCTTATTGTAGGAATTCAATTTTATTATTTTGTTAATAAAAATTGAGAAGGGGGGTTTCTCTATTATGAAATCCTAACTTTATGTTTAGCTTAGCTTTTCAATTTGTTTCCAAAAAAATAAAAAAGTTTTTTTGAGCTAGTCTAAAATATTAAATATCTTGACAAATCATGCAAATAAGAACAAGAGAGGGCGTCCTTGTCCACGTCCACATAAAAGAATCATAATAACCGCACGCTTTGGTGATTAAATATTTTTCACTAACAAAGATCATAATAAAACCTATATCTTATATCTTACCTTAAATCAAATCCTTGACCCCCTCAAGTCCTCAACATATATATACGTCCAAATCACCTTAGCTTTCTCCTCTCTCCACGTGGCACTTCCACCCGCTCCGTAGGTCCGTGCCGGTGCCGATCAGTCATTTCAGAATATAAAAATAAAATAAAAATAAAATAAGTTGTCACGTTATTTTAGTAGATTGATCAATTATTATAACAAAAGTCCACAATAATCATGCCATGCTTTAAATTGAGAGAAAAAGACCTTTTATGATTATTGTACATACATTGTTCCCTCTCTTCATTCATTCTCTTTCTCTCTTATTCTTCACATTCCACAATTTTCATTTTTTTTTTTTTTTTTTTTTTGGTTTAGAGATGGGGAATTGCCAAGCTGTAGATGCTGCAGCACTAGTGATTCAGCACCCATCTGGGAAAATAGAGAGGTTGTATTGGTCAGTGACTGCAAGTGATGTTATGAGGACTAATCCAGGCCATTATGTTTCTTTGATAATACCATTGCCTGTGCCTGAAGGACACAATCATGTGGAGAATAATACTGTGCTTTTTACTCATGTTAAGTTGCTACGGCCTAATGAGATTCTCACTCTTGGCCATGCTTACAGGCTCATCACCACTCAAGGTATTTTTACAGTCACTTTTTTTCTTTTCTTTTGAAGGGTGTGTTTTTGCGTTGGTTCATGTTTTCTGAAGAGGTTTTGTTTGTGTTTATGGTTTTTAGAGGTTGTGAAGATGTTGAAAGCAAAGAAACATGCAAAGACGAGGAAGCAAGAGGCTAAGACAGTAGAGAGTATGCAAATAGTGCAGCATCTGGAAAAGCCAAGTTTAGCTAGTGAGACTGGAGGGAAGTTGGACACTGGAAAGATATATCAGGTGGTCCTTTAGTTACTTATCATCAACACTCATCTTTCTCTTTGTTGTCTTGGCTAAATACTATTCCATGAATGATGTTCTATTAGGATTTTTTTCCTAACTGGTTCATTCAAAACCTAACTAGTCTAGTTGAAATATTGTTGAATTCGAATAGGATCGGATTTCCCAACATTATTTTCTTTATTTTTAGGCATTAACAAGATGTTATGTTTATACATGTTAGAGGGATATAATATAAAACTGTGAATGTGATCTATATCTACCAAGTTCAGTTTTTGAGTTGAATCGATTCTTTATAATATGCAATTCTAGCCCTTGCAGTTTCTTTGGAAAGAAAGAACACTCAAGGGAGAGAAAGAGAGAGCGAGAGGGGATGAGTAATTTCAGAATCAGTATATTTTAATGCATCCATGTTTTTGAAGAAACCAAATTACAAACATAAGTTTTGACTTCATTTTTTATTGATCATGTATTTATCATCAATAAGTACTGATGCTGTAACTGCATAATGAATTGCAGGCAATGAGAGCAGACAGACACAGGGTAAGGGCAGTATCTGTGAATCCTGCTGCACTTAGACCAAAATCGTGGCGCCCCTCCTTACAGAGCATCTCAGAGTCTGGGAGTTGTGGTGCTAAGTTGTGATATTATATATAGTGTCTCAGAACATTATTTGAATGGCTCTTTCATGTTGGATGCTCCTGCTGGTTGAGTTATACATGGGCAAGGAAGTTCAACAGTGGTTCGAACTACAGACTTCTCTTCCATCACCAATCATAATCCTCAACTGAATAACCATGTTCCAGTGACAGCATGTTTGTATAGCACAAAGAAGAGGAAAAAAGAAAAAAAAGAAAAAGTAGCGAACGTCAAAATCTACTAGTAAACTAGTTCCTTTTAGTGTTAAAAGCATACACATGTTACTAGCAAATGACAAATCTTTACATTGTAAATGAAAAAGAAAACACTGTAAAGAGAAAGTTATTTTGGTTTTGAGTTCCAAACTTCCCAATCTTCATCAACATAATTTTGAGCCCATAATAGTGACGCCCTAGCAGCCAGAGGTGCTCCTGGTAGTTTCTTCTTCTTTAGAGCGACCAACATATCCGTGAATGGCTCCACCAACAATGTCCCAGGACCTCCATACTCCTTGCACAAAAACTCACTAAATATCTGTTTTCAAACAAAAGCTAATATTTTAACTCCTAAGTTTAAAGTGGAATTATTTAGCTTCAAGTCTCAAGCATCAAACTAGCATGTCAAAACATTGTCAGATCTCGGCCAAGCATGTCAAAAAATTAGAAATATTTAGAAGGTTCCAAAAAGTTTTTGCTTTGTAGTAAAGGTTTTTGTTTTTGTTTCTAAAGAAGTTTGCTTTTGGCAGAAGGAAATAGATACTCTATAAGAATATAGACAGCTGAAGGTATTGAAGAGTTATGAACCACAATATTCTAAAAATGGCTTGGACAATATTCTTCATCAGTTATTTGAGATCAATCACGGATACAGGACAATAATCCTTTCAATATAATAAAACAAACCTTTTCCCACTTATGCATCAGGTAACTTGTAACAAGTTCTCTATTAACCAAGTCAGCCTCTGATATCCAATGCTAAACACATACACTTACAAGCACATCACCTCACGTCTGTACAGTTTTCACCATCTGATTACAACTGGTCACACCTTGTTTTGTGCAAACCAGCCTCTAATATCCAATGCTAAACACATAGACTTACAAACACATAACCTAACATTTGTACAGTTTTCACCATCTGATTATAACTGGTCACACCTTGTTTTCTGCACACCTACACTCTGAATCTTTCATATACTGAAGTCAATCCAAATGAATTCTATTAAAATCTATAAATCGATGTTCCGAATTTTGAATCCTGAATAGGGAAACAGGGTTCATAACTGTGTAAGTAGCCAATAAGAACAAGCACAGGCCGAGTATATCAATAATCAACCACCAAGAACGCACAACTATGAACCGACATGCATTGTGAACTCTTACGAAACTCATAATGCCAGTGCAGTTACCATTATAGTATCACTTTACAAGGTTCTTACTGATTTTGTGATATTTTATCCCATTAGATACTGGATAAATAAAGAAAAATGTCTAGTAATTCCATTACGTCAATCATTAAAAAAAAACCTACATCTCACGACATGACTATTTAAATCGGGCAGTTGCTAACCAATCTTTGCATGCAATATTGAACACAATAAAATATCAAATGACTTCAGGGGTATAAATGCAGATACACCAACTGTGAGAGATTTAAACCAGATTAGTAGAACGGCGATTGCATACAAATAGGTAAACCTAACTTAGATTTCTTGGACAATCATTGAGGAAAATTTGATTTATAAAATCCTTTCAACTTAGGACTCAATGACTCTGAAAAGGAAAAAGAAAATTTCCATATAAATAAAGTCACATGTAATTTGGAAATAATTGGGACATATAATTAAAATTTGTGATATTCTTATTAATTTGACATGATTTCTTCTAGGAAAAGAATGTTGACAAATGGCAACAAACATTAATGAACAAATTCCTTTATATGTAAGAAAAGTGACCACAAAATCATGAAATGAGAATGTTCTTTTAAGTGTGGTATGATAATAAAAAAGGGTATTATCAGAAAAATAAATGCATGTCTCTCAACTTCTTATAAGATTAAGATCACTGATGACTTACAATGTGCAATTCTTTGCAGGAAAAGATAAAAGCAGCTTGTGATTTTGTCTATTTCATTTATTTATTTTTGCAAAAGGATTCTTAGAATCACAGTGAAACTCAGTCTATACACAAGACCAACTACTCTCAAAGCCTCATCTTTTACTAAATCCATTACAGTAAGACTACAGTAATTTATCTTTTTAATCAAAAGCAGTTCTTCTGTTTATATGCAATCAAGAAGAAAATCCATTAAACTCAAACACTTCCGCAAGTATATCCCTTGTTCAAATGCTTAAAACAAGAGACATACAATTATTTTCTTTTGTAATACACCACATAAAAAACTATAGAAAAAGATTAGGTAGGACACAGGAGGAAGCTGACACATTCAAAGTCAAATTGCCAACTGATTTCCTACCGAAATATATATGAACAAAGAGAAACTAGTATTATCTAAAAATACAAGCAGTCATTGCCCCCTTTTCTGTTGATTGGTGAAAGGAAGGCAATGCGATAAGTTTGTAATTAAAATCCAAATTTGGGGACAGGACAACAACCTTAACATAAAAAATCTAAAAGAAAACGAAAGGAGAGTTGAAAGTTTGTTAACTTCTTGTGCCCCTCATTATGTGTAGTTGGTGCAAGATACTAATACATATATTGTTTTTCAAGTTGACATCACAACCACAACGAAAATGAACAGTGAAGATGGAAGATGAAAGATTAAGTACATTCCAGCCGGATTTGAATTAGTAAGCTGTATACCAGATTATTTAATAACTCTCACCATCAAATCATACCAAAATCTAGAGTCAATCATTGACTATTTAAAGTTTAAGCATATAACTGATATACTTTGCTAGAATGGACAAAAAGAAAATTACAAAAGTTGCATAAATGTCCTACGTAATTTGAGCACTTTTTTGTTATATTTGAGTGAATTATATATCCGTTCAAGCGTTTTCCCAAGCACCTAGCACTCAAGTACGATAAACAAATTTCAATCTCAACTAGGTGAACCATTATAATTAATGCAATTAAGTATTCCTAATAAGTGGATTTTCCAAGAAAACAAACAATGAAACGTAACCCACAAACGATTTTGTCATAAAGTTTTGTTCTTGAAAGGGTAAACAACATTCACCTGAGCGCAAGCGTCTATAACCGCATCAAGTTCATCCCCAAACTCGTCTACGTCCTCTGAAAGCTTCTGCAAGAGCTCAACTTTGAACTTCTGGGTCTCCTGCAACACCCCAACACAATAGAATTTAAAAAAATGGGTACAACCTTTCAGATTCTGCAAAATTCACAGCAAAATGAATGTACGCACAGATTCTGAAAATTCGGGACTTGGGTCAGGGTACACGTGCTTCTGGGTCGGTGAAGATCTGAGAGTGCAGCTGAATGTGTTTCTGGAAGTGTGTTTTGCGGACAGTGGCCATGGCAAAGAGTGGCGCAGGATAAGGAAGGACGTGCGCAGGATAAGAGCATTCGAGGTTCTCGCGGGAGAGAGAGTAACTGTTGGGGTAGAAGAAAACGAAGATACGAGAGAGGAAGTGAAAAGTGACATTGGTTTTTTTTTTTTTTTCTTCCCTTTTTGCTGTAATTTAGGAGCTGGCGTAGGTTAAGAATCTTGTGGTGGTGTAGGTTAAGATTCTTGTTCTGTTCAACGTATTAGAACAGTGGGAAGTGATCTTTGTGTTTTTTTCTACTATCGCCTTAACTAACAGAAACCTTGATAAGTGAAAACTTTTCGGACTGTATAATGTAATCTGTCAAAAGACATTATTCTTAGTTTGTAGCAGAAACCTTAATAAGTAGAATTTTAATGTCCCGATTACTCAATCTAATTTCCAACTTCGTAATTTCTCTCCTTTTTTTTAATTCTTGATGAAAATAATTATACTCTTTCAGTTGTGTGATTCTCTTCTTTTCATGATACAGTGGAGACTATGAGGAACAGATTTTTACCAATTGTTGGGATGTATTAGTGCAACCCAGGAGCACACAAATCATACAAAAACTCATCACATGCCATACAAATTTCAATGATTTGTTTCCCTGTTCAACAGGTTGATTCATGTTCTTTTTTATTATCAAAAGATATGTATTTATCATTGAAGATGAAGAGAGTATATAGGGATTTTCTTAAAAGAAAAACAATGCTAGCAAGGGTATCTGAAACACTCTAGATTAAGAGTTGGGGGGGGGGGGGGGGGATTACATCAAAGAAACTATGTAGGGAGCCTATTAACTTTCCAAAACTCCTTCCTTTCTTCAATGGCTTTAGAAACAGTTACAGTTGGTGACCAAAATTTTGCATTGAACACGTGATCATTTCTATCAATCCACAATCTCCTAATTGTGTGGGCTTGCAAATTGTAACTTCATAATCCATATAACCAAATGGCACATTACCACTTCGGATATCAAGCAAGGATGCCACCAAGAAAGCATATGAAGTTAAAACTAGAGATACTCCAAGTGGCTTGGGCTTTGGGGCTTCTAATGTGAAGATGGATGACAAATTTCATATCAAGAGTTGCATCACCCATACTCACCATTCCATTCAAACATCTGCGAATAAATTTACTTTTGATGGCCAAGCTTTCGTGGGGATGGGAAAAGCCACCGTATGATATGATAAGTTTGATCTTTAGGTCTATCCGCATTTTTGTTGGGCTTTTGTCATTAAATGTCGAAAAGTAGAGTAAACTAATGTTATTAAATCCGAATGGGCCATCAATTCGATGGGGTATTAGATCAATGGATTACTGATTTAACCAATAATTTACTGATTGAATTGTTTAAATTAAATTTATGTAAAAGTATATAATAACTTAACTTAGTAATTAGTATTTCACTCCCCTTCCTTTAAGTGCCACTTTTAAATCTCAATAGTGCAATTGTACTGAAATATTTTGCCGAAGTAAATTTTGGCTAAGTGGAATTTTTTAAAAACTGGTTTAACAAGAAAATCGGAACCAGGTTAACATCAGTTGAACCCAGTTTTTGACAAGTTCATAGGTTATTGATCGGGTTGCATGCATGACTGGTTATTTTACTAAACCAAATCGGTTAATAGTCCGTTTCGTAATTCAATCAGTCCGAATTTTTAATAACACTACGGAAACAGTTCTCTCACTCCTCTTGAAGTTCTCCTTCTTCCACCATCAGATTGATTTGAAATTTTTTCAATAGGTTTGGGACTTATTGTTCTTCATTTCAACCATTTAGATTGTTGGTTGGATATCTGTAGTAGTGTCAGGAATCTTACAAATCCAACTCATTTTCTGCTAAATTCTACAACAGGCAACAATATTAGGAGAGACATATCTCTCAAATGCATTTTTGGGTTAAGCTTTAACCTTGATAAAAATTAAGCATGGTTTGAGTTTGACCATTTGGATTTTTTGATTGGAGTTTCCATGAGGATTTTGAGCAAACGAAAACGTATGATATTAGAAATTTTGTGATGTTTTAGGCTATGGAAACCAAAGAGAGATATTTTTCAAATTAATCGTTGGATCGATCTAAAAAATGGTAAGTATGTTTCTCTCTAATAAATTGGTAATCATGTTTCTCTTTTGTATCTATCTAATTTGATCATTGGGATTTTTTATTGGAGTTTTATAGTGGTACAAAACTTTTTTGGACAAAACCTCGTGCTTATTTGTCAGGGTTGTGCAAAATAACCGAACTGAAACTGATTATTTATGAGAAATGAAGTTTTCACACACTACCACCCAATTAAATTTTTTTTATGAAATCCATCCAAAAAATTGTTTTTCTTAAATCAGATAATAAAAATTTGATTATTTATGATGTGGTTTTGACTCTATTCATATGATTTTTAATGGTTTTAATATTTCTATAGTGATGTAGATTAGTTATCTATATTCACTCTCAAAATGACATTATTTTGGATTAAAAAATTAAAAAATATAATGAAAAGTACTATTATAATCCTGAAATATATAATTACAAAAATACTTGGATTTCTGGCATTAACGATGTCGTTTTGAATTCAATATAAATAAATTTTTTTTATGTGGATTCAATATAAATAACTTATTTACATTAACTGTAAAAAAATCGAACACTTTTTTTAATACTTCTAAAAATAATCATTGTTCGGTTCCATTTTTATTGAATCAAACCAGTAAAATATTTCGGTTCTCTAAACCAAATCAATTTAGAAAAATGATTCAATTTTTAAATTGATTCAGAAAATATGATTATTTATAATACGGTTTTTTCGGTTCATATAATTATTTTTTCACTCCCCTAACTAAAACACTAGAGTTTCCATAACCTACATCAACAAATGATGCTTTATTGATCCCCTCTGATTTGTAAAAGAGGCAATAGAATGGGTTTGGAAAAAAGTTAGTATCTTAGACCTTGAATGAGGTTCTCAAACTTTTTAACTCCGAAGCCTTTGATGACCCTTCAATAAAATCCTTCTCCATTCCCATTGGACTTAACAAAATTTTAAATATAACAAATATACAGGCCCATATAACTAGAGGCGGAAATGTTAAGCAGGAAAATAATTTTGCAAAGTTCCAGATGCTATCTCCAATAATTTAAATTAGCCCACTAATATGAAGTAATAATTTGTGATAGCAATAACAAAATCTACATTTATATAATATACTCAGTTGCATCATTTTCAAACATATAAGTAATTATGATATCCGGAATAGGTGACCAGCATTATAAATCAGAATTTGGTCATCTAAACACCTAACCCTTCATAGTAACATATCACAAAATTGTGTTATAACAAAATTTAAAGTGTCCTTGTGAGTTTTGAAATGATGTGTTATGTCTGATATGAAGATGGACTTTTTTTCTTCAATTGATTCATCATTTCGCGACAAGTTCAATTCAGGACGGGTTCCGGGATTAAAGCTTTAAACATTTTCCAACAACGGTATTGGAGAGAATCAAACACATACTCTGATCCTCACCTGCTCAATTTTTTGACGCTAACTAAACTACTATCATTTAGTAAAATGAACCATTTCTCAAAGCAGTATTTCAAGTATTAAACATCCATTTCAGTAATGTAAGTTTGAAATTCTTGGCCCAATAAAAAATTCCTCAATGGGCCTAAAGCTGAATAACTCAACTTCACCATATTTAGTTACTACATCCCGCTTTGCTGTATTCCTGAAAAGGAATATGAAGCACTGTACATCTTGGAACAGAAAAGCAATGACTTTAGACATTTAACTTGCATTAGATGAAAATTGGGAACGTAATCTTACTATCACTTCCGACCAAACAGAAACAAGAAAGGGAATGTTGCTGTTGAACATGACACAATGTGATTCTCGCTTTCTTTTCCTTTACACATATCTATTAACCAATACAATTAGCCATAGATCATAATGAATATAAAACCAAATAATCAATTTATTCACATACCCAATGAAGATAAGTAGTACCACCTTTTACACAAGTTTCCAAAGTTACAAATCCAAGGTGTTTACTATAAAGTAATGTGAACAGTATGCTGCAATTGACAAAATAAAAAAACGGAGCCAAGACAAATAACTTTTGGCTAAGTAGTACTTTATATCCTTTATATTAAAACAGAGCTTTTCTTTTCCCTATCTAAATAGTTCTTTTTCCTCATTTAGGTAAAAAAAAAATGCATAGTGGGTATTGGTGGCCGCATTGCAAGTGATTCAAGATTTTTTGTATTTTATCATTTGGGTTGCTAACTCGGAACACTAATGCCATGTTTTAAATACAATTGAACTTTGATTTTTTTTTTTTCCCCACTTTATATCACTAAGGCTTATTATGAAAAGAATTAAACATACGTGCAAATGATAAAATAGAAGTCTTGGTCTTCTGATAGTGAACAATGCTCGAGGTTGTGTTTTTTTTTTTTATTAATTGGTGGGGAAGGAGCTAGGACTCTTTGTGGGATATTGATGTCAACACACTGATAGTTTCTATTCCTGCTTTTCATTTCCTCTATCTTCTAATTAATTGGCATCTTAATACATGGATGCAAATATACTGACTAATTGATGTTTTTCATTTTCCATTTACATGAGCAATGCAGTGATCAGAAAGAGTTTTGAGAGAAAGAGAGGTAAAGGAGAAACTGAATAGAGAATTTACACTTCGTATTTACCCCCTTAAGATAAAAGAAAATATAAATATAAACTTTATGATTAATGACTAAATGAAAGATTAACTTGGTGATGAACCGTATCTCCCTTTCCGTAGCAAAAAAATTAAAATATTATTATTTTAATAAATAATTATGAATATATAATTGTTTTAAAATTATTTATAGATTTATAACACTCAGACGTGAATGGTCACGCCTAAGTTAGGCGTGACTCACGAGGCATTCACGCCTAATTTAGACATGATTCGTCTGGTGTTGACACGTGACACAAAAAAGTCAACTTACGAATCGTAAAATTTTTGAAGACCATAACTTTTTACTCAAGTATCCGAATCAGGTAATTTTTTTTTAATTCGACATAACTTTTCGAGATCTACGTAATGACACCTCATTTGACATATTTTAAACACCCCGTTCTAGAACCGGTTTGTTATCATTACGTACGGCATTAAACGCAGTTACAATCACAAGATTGAATTAAAACACGGATAACTTTTTCCTTTTTATTTATAAAAGCTTTTGTTCAAAATCCATTTCCGTAATTAAATCAATCCCCGTATTGTGATTATAACTCAACTATATGTGGAATTAGTACTGTAGGTCC